CGAACGTCTCCTGAAAAAGTAATGAAGGAAAGATCGCAACGAAGTGACGTAGAGCACAAATAGGCGAGCTCGTGAAATAATAACAAGCCTCATTATTGTGTCAAGAGGGTTTTTATCGGATTCGAATAAACCAAACGATTTCTGGCATAAGAAGCTTGTTGTAAAGTCGTCAATTCGAAAGCGGTAAATCTCTTTATTTATGTTTTCTTATACAGCGACTGTCAAATTAGGTACTCTGTTAAGTATAAGCGTAATCAAATGACGAAAACGTTTGACCTGGCAGAATAAACTATTGTACCTTAGCTTGGCTGAACTTAATCCTCTACTCCGTCAAGCCATTGAACCTTACTCATTAACAAAGACTAATTCTTCCCCCTTCGTCAAAGAGGGAACGATCGTTAGTAGCGTTATTTCGCTCTGGTCTTCTATATAATCTAGCAGGTGACTACGCCAGACGAGCATCAAATCCGGAACCTTAAATCCGGTCCTGGCCTTACCTCTCTGAACTTATTATTTTAATAATTACTGCACACACTCCTTCGGTTGAGTTCTTAACTTTTCGTTCACCAAAATGTTTAAAATTAAGCGCAGAGGACGGCCCGTTCCCGACTTAGAGATATGCCACTGGGAATATTCAAAATTGACTGTAATTTACTTATTGTATAGGTGACTGTCATATGTAGTAGTCGGTGTCCGGCAGCGACGAAACATGTATCATTTGAAAGCTTGTTTTATGTTATAACATGAACAGATATTTATAAATCCCCGGTTTTTTTTAAATCTTATTTAAATATAACAATTTCGCAAGGATGCTGGCCATCATGTTATAAGTAAAGTCATATTTTAAGTATGTGGCAGCTTTTACGTCAACTCAATCATTATGTTAAATGTCAACCAGTCCAGTCATGCATGGTATTCGTGAAATCGTGGTGAAATGGTAGCTATACACATAATCAGGTCGGCATAGTCGGTTCGGCAGCATTATACTTGCGTTTTTTCAATACTGATGCACTCGCCTTGCGTAATTGACTTAACGTTTAATATTACTGTACCCATGCATCATCATATAAAATTCACTAGTGATCCCGACCTACTAAATACCTTTAATATTGACGATGTCTCAGTCTGTAAATTACTAACATGTACACCGGGTGAAGTTTAAACGTTATTGTCACAACAAAATAGCACACTATGCTTACTTACCCAGAATATACGCAGCATCTCCGCCAATATGTGTACTTTTAATATAATTTTGAATAGTCTTAATACTAACCTAGATGTTATTATACTTACAGAATGGTGGCTCAAGTAAGATCCCCCTATTCCAACATTTAAAAACTTTTCTTATTACTCATTTCCTAATCCTGTAAATCAAAATGATGGAGTAGTAGTTTATTGCAATACTTCACTCCCGGGGGTAACTGTTTCGGAACCGGGTATCGTAAGTTCCTTGCTTATTGAGATAGGTAGAGAAGTAGCGATCCTTGCCATCTATCGTCCCTGTACTTTCAAAAGCGCACATAACTTCATACTATCACTCCATTCTACTCTAGATAGAATTAAAAACTATAAAACTACAGTTATAATGGGTGATATTAATATTGACATATCTCCAAATGTTAATCATTCTGATACAGAGGATTATTTAAATACTCTTGCTCATCATGGCCTTCTTCCGGCTCACACCTTACCCACTCGTGACATAACGTGCCTTGATCACGCAATTCTAAAATCTCCGTTGTGTGCAACTTCACTTGTGATTCATTCAAGTGTAATAGATCATGAACCGGTGCTTCTTACGCTCTGTAACACCAAAACGGCCGCACCCCCCAAACTTACTAAAAAATCAACTACATCAATACAGCTGCAATAATTAATGAAATAGATTTCTCTCCAGTGTTAAATTCCACATATCATAATTATGCCACCGGCCTCTTTATTAAAAAACTACAGTCAGTTATTGATCTACATACCACAAACTTGCCTGTACCTAGACGACAAAGAATAATAAATCCATGGATATCGCCAGGGCTTTTAAGATGTATAAATAATAGAGACAGTATGCATAAAAAACTAAAATTAAGTCCTGAAAACAATGTACTCAAAAAAACCTTTACAAGATACCGTAACTTTTGCAATTCTCTTCTAAAACGGTTTAAAAGGACATACGATACTGAGCTCATTAAAAAGGCAGGCTCAAACAGTAAACACCTCTAGAAGGCTATTAAAGAAGTGACGAATTTAAATAAATCCCGCACTTCCGGTGACCCGTTACTTTACGCAATGCCCTCGAAAGAAGACTCGTCAGATCGAGTGAATGAATTTTTCGTGAATGTTGGAAAATCATTAGCAGAGGATATTCTCACACAAAACCCAATAAACGCCTCATTACATTCAGTTTCCTCCTCTGCTCTGACTCCAACTCGCAATGCTGAATCCTTTGTTTTTTGGAAGTTGAGCTTATTATTTGTTCTCTGAAAGAAGACAACTACGTTGGGACAACATCTCAAATTCATTTCTAAAGCGTTTTAAAAATGTTCTAGCTCCTAGTGTAGCTAACATATGTAATATCTCTATTACTAAGGGCATTTTTCCGTCAGCTTTCAAAAAAGCACTATCGACAAATCTGGAGATCCAGACTGTGCAAACAGCTATAGGTCTATCTCAATCTTACCAGCACTGTCTAAGATTTTTATTAACTTTCTTGAAACAAAGTTATTATTATCCCATGCACAGTATGGTTTTAGATAGGGTAAATCAACCGCTGATGCTGTACATGATCTCACAAACCATATTTTCATAAACTTAGATAAGGGACGAAATGCTTGGCCATCTTTATAGATCTTGCAAAGGCCCTTGATACGGTTCCCGTGCCAATCTTGCTTACAAAGCTTGAAGCCTTGAGAGTTCTAGGTAATCAGCTGTCGTTATTTCATAATTATCTTTCCAATCGCACGCAGCGAGTATGTATGGCAAATGGGATTACCAGTTCAGAGCTTCCTATTGAGTATGGTGTTCCACAAGGAAGCATACTAGGCCCTACGCTGTTGCTAACATTCATCAACGACCTCTGCTCTTTCAAAATCCCAAGCTGTAAAATGCGGACGACACAGCCTTATTGTTTACTGCAAGTTCATGGAGGCCTTTTGTGTAGCTCAAAGGGGATTTGATACAGTAACAGCATGGTTTCGAACCCACCTCTTAAACTTGAATGTCCAAAAGACAAAATATCTCACTTTCTCCATTAGAGGGATTCCTCCCACATTTCTAAACAATCTTAACATTGTTGCTCATTCTAAATCTCACTGTCTTCAATTCCAATCCCCATGTAGTTGCTCTCCTCTTTCCATGTCTGACTCCATCCATTATCTAGGAGTTCTTGAAGATAATCGTTTAACTTTCCAATCTCACCTTTCACTCAGAGCATACAGAATACGTAAACTCATCTTTTTCTTTAAAAATTTGCGTCACGTAGCTCCTTCCGGTATAGTTAAATCTGTATATATAGCATTGTGCCAGTCACTGTTGATATACTGCAATACTTCCTGGGGAGGCGCCTGCAAAACTCATATTCTGATCCTCGAAAGAGCACAAAGAGCTCTGTTGAAAGTGTGCACCTTCAAACCTATACTTTTCCCCACTGATGAGTTATACCAATTATGTGATTTACTAACAGTCCGCCAACTCTTCATTCTGTATACCATCCTGAAACAACATGGCCTAACTGAACCTACTCTAAATCGACGAAATCACTTAGTTGCTATTTCCTCTTGCTTCAAAACCTCTTATAGTAGGCGATTCTTCTGTTCCCTAGGTCCTTTTCTATACAATCGCCTGCAACTAAAACTCAATATTTTGGGACTTACTAAATACTCTTGCAAACTTAGTGTCTCTAATTATCTAAAATCATTAAACTACGATCAAACCGAAAACCTCTTGCTTCGTTTGGGATGATAATTGACGTAAAGTAAAAACTTGGCTTTTCCTGATTATTATAGTTACTTTGCTAATAATTTGTATGTGTATTTGTATATGTCCGAGTATGTATGTATTTTGGATGTATGTTAGATAAAGATAGATATTCATGTATACAGTTGCTAATAATTTGTATGTGTCTAAGTGTGTATGTGTTTGGATGTATGTATCTATATCCATGTATAGTTACCTTATAAATGCTGTGTATATAACCATGATTGTGTACCCATAGTATAGGGCAAATTCACCTTCTTAATATATTTTTTGTATTTTTCGTATACAATAAGTAGAGTTTTTACTGTATGTTAACGTCCTAAGCTGTATAGGCATATTTCTAATAGATTGCTGTAACCTAACCCATCCCAAGGATCGGCTTAGTTCAGACACCGACCTCTCATGACATCAGGTATGCAATGGTATTCATACTACGATTGTTAAATGTCTATCCATCCATATGCCTATAAAAATGTAATTAACTAAATTCAAAAAATGTTGTCGATGCCAAAATGTTTGTGACGAGAAATAAACGTTTTATTAATAAAATTGTCATTTGCCAATCAATAATGATGTAATTTTAAATTATAATTAGGTAAAGATTTTAAAAAAATGAGGATAAAATAAATTCTAGTTTGAGTCTGCCGGAGACTCACTACCACTTTCATACAAATTTAAAACCGTCTCCTTTACGAAAATATTGACAATATTAGCAAACATTTTCAAAACAAATACAGGGTGTTACAAAAATACAAATAAAGCTCGAAGGGCGTTGAAGTATATCATATATTGAATCGATCATTTTAAGACACGTCACTAGTTCGAGGATCATTAAAAATAACTGTTTTTTTTAAAAGTTAAAACTTCATGCAAATATTTTAAAAAAATTAGGGAAGACTCCTTATTTGATGTACTTCAATGCCCTTCAAGCTTTATTTGTATTTTTGTAACACCCTGTATATCTGAGAACAACAAAACAGAGCTGCCGATACTTCCACTTTTTGAATTCTCATTGTTTTTCTTAGTCTTACCCAGCAGCTTCAGTGAAGTATGTGTTGTCGTTGTGCACCGCCAGTGGCAGGTTGGTGTATGCGGTGTCGGCGTGGTCAGCTATCGTGGTGAACTTCCACATTCCGCCAAACAAGGTATATTGGACGCCACCCAAAGCTTGACAGACAGCCTCTGTGCCTTCCACCGATACCTCTACCTAATGTACACAAGATAATAAAACTTTTTAGCAAAAACCTTCAACCGCCGAACAAACTGAAAAGCAGAAAATAATAAACTTTTCTTATCCTAAGTCAAATTTATATTTGTAATCGGTATCTGATAGATCTGAGTTCCCATTTACTACTTGGGTTGGCATAGCACCGACTCCAATTTTGTTGTTTTTTTTTTTGGATTGGTTTTACCGGCCCTGATTTCTATAGACTTCAGTACCCTTAGCACGAACCAATATCGAATTCGTAACGTTTGCGAGTCCAAAATGTCATTGTCAAATGTGTACTGATTTTTAGTTCTCGTTACGTACTTTGTGCCGCTGCTGTTCAAATTTCCATACAAAATTTGACATTGACATTTCGGTTTGCAAACTATTCGAATTCGATAATGGTTCGTGCTAGGAGTACAGCTGTGTCTTGCATTTAATGTCTTTAATTAAATATTTCCAAGAGTTTTCTTTATGTATTTAAATAAATATGTATAAGTTTCTGGAATCTGCAATAAACCTTGTAATTGGCAGGGTACATCTTTAATAATGCTTTGTAGATTGGAAGCTAAGATAAGACGTAGCATGGCGACATGGTGACATTTCAGAACGATTATTTGTATTGTATTGACAGATGTTGGTTTCAGATAGATTTATTTTGAATTTGCTGGAGTACGGCAGTGTCCCAGTCTCAGTCGGTTGATAGTGCTATAAAACTCTCTGATCACAGTTTGAGCACCAACTCCAAATATTAATTTGACTAAAGATAAAAAAAGTTTTTTTTTTCTGTTTTTCGGCGGTTCAAGTTGTTTTTGCTTAAAAGTTTTTTTTTGTGGCTTTAATTTTGTCATAAACAACTAGGCATCAAAATCTTTGAGTGAACAATCACCCCTATTCCCCCACTCGTCCCAGTGAAGTGGCGCACGCTAAGGTGCGTCGATCCTGAGACGCCCCCATATGGGCGTAGGAGGGTAGGGGGGGGTTTTAGTGGAGTAGGATCAGTGTGGCCTTCCGCACTGGTCCTGCTTGAGTAGGGTCGGCACTGTTTCCCGTGCCGGCGAGTCCCACACACGCCGTGCGCCTAGTCAGCATCACGGTATGGTTCGTAACTGCATTTCCCCTCGTCACAAAAAAAAAAGGGTAGGTGTTTTTTTCCAAATATATCTAGGACTATCATTGAGGTATAATACATTATCCATTAAAAACTGGCCAAGTGCGTGTCGTGCCACACGTAGTATAAGGTTCCGTAGATATTTCATAGTAGTTTTTATTAAAAAGCTTTTTAAATTTTGTATTTCCATTCAAGATTTTACGCGATATAAGCAAGCGATTACTTCATCTTGGTCACTTTTTATGTGTTCTTCTGACGAATTTTCATTAGGAAAGAAATTTTCTAATATCTTCGTTGAACGACTATTACTCTTACACTAACCGATCTATCTTAACTGTCATAATATTTTTTTGAATTTTGGTAGTAAAATTTTGATAATCAATACTGAGAACGGCCATGGCGGAAGTTGCTTAACTTCCGTGATCGCAGACTGAAGGAATATGTTAATCACTGAGAGTAGCTCATAGTTCTAATATAATAAATTAAGTTTTTGTTGACAAAAACGATAGTTAGAAGAGCATTTATACCAGATCCATTTTATTTATTAATGATCAAGCCATTTTCGGAAACACAAATATGCAGGCTGTCAATATTGTTTTTGGACAACATCTTCGATCTAAGTTATAATAAATTTGATGTGTTTTAATAATAAATGTGATTTGTTTTGTGCCTAGAAAAGTATTTCATTTTGGATCTGCTAACCCAGATGTCTATTTGATGATCCCGCCACTTCGAGGATATACTTTGGATTTCGAGTCAAAAGTATAATTGCATTACTTTAAGTAATGAAGGTGAGATTTATAGGAAACCTGAAAAAAATACAATTACGGTAACTACAATTTTCTTACCCCTGTTATGAGAGCAACTCCAAAGTCGAGCAGCGATTGGAATACAGCCTTAGCTCCATTTTCGGTCTCCAAAAATTGCTTGACAGGCACCCTCGATACCTTTTCAGAGACCTGACAGCCATGCCACAGCACAGGGCGCAACCTTCGACTCTCGCTCCATTTACCGTATTCGAATTGCGCCAAAAACTCCGACGTATATGTGGATTTATGGCCGTCATTCCCTAAAACAAAGGAGATCCTAGATTCCAACATTCCCACGTTTAGAAAAATGTAAGAGCCACGAAGTTTTGTCATTCGAGCCACGATCCAATACCAGAGGACACGCCCAATATATTTCACACTAGATATTGAAAGATAATGGCGAACTTGCATTTTCAATATTATTTATCTACGTTGGTGGTCCGCGAAGACACCGCGTTTTGTTTACATGCTATGGAATGCATCATTTTAAATGAGTATATTATTAAGTATTTGGCGATTAAAGTATCATAACTGTAATGAAATATTCTTGCTCAGGTAAATTCACTTTAGTTTGTAGTTCACCAAAAAGATTATACCTAACGCAATAAGTCTTTGGAGTAAATTAAATACTTAAATGTACACCTAAGAAGATTTTGCCGGTTTGATTTGAATTTTATTTAAACTAAATAATTTACAAATTCAGTGACAATCCAAAAAAACATTGCTTTAGGTACGTGAATCGCATGATTTTTCAAGAGTCTGGTTTCTTTGAACAGTCTTGAAAAAGATCACTTTGTAACGTCTTTGGTCGATCCCTTGGTTTTTGCTGGTTTAATAGCCAAGCAGAGTAGGGAGGGAGTCAGCCTCTGAATGCGGAATAATTAGTAGGCTTTTGCGAGGATTTCTTCGACCCTCTGATGTGCCGTAAACACACATATCATTGGCATCAAAGATTACTTAGTAATTGTGTTAAAAAACTGTGTTATACAATTTGTTATTTGCCACTATCAATCACCAAGATCAATACGTACCCAAAAAATTGCATGTAGCTATTATGCCGGTATGACTTAAGTTTTAATTTAACTTAACTTTTCGTAACGAGAAGATAACAACAATTTATTACTATAATATGAAATGTAAAATCAGAGTTGGAAATGTCTGCCACCCTTCTCTTACATTTACAAATACTCTATACAACATTAAAATATTTTTTGAAAAGACGATGGGATGATATAGTGCTAACATTATTCTTTACAGTTTAATAATTTTTTTTATAAAAACTACTACCATCCTGACTTTGCCAGCTTTAATTTCACTATCTATAAAATGTTTATAATAAATATAGGGATGACGACTAATTTTTTTTCTTCTTTTATCAGGTAGATTATCAAAAAGTATTGGACACGTATTTTTTCTTATTTCACATAATATAAACATTGCAGAGATATATTGATTTGAAAAGTCGCATGACGTCACGTTTGGTACACTTTTAAGTGCAAATTCACAAAAAAATGACGTCACGAGCCCCTACTCCCAAACTTTGACGCGCTATAACTTTTTAATTTTTTTGGTTGATTGCCCAAAGAAAAAACACGTGTCCATTATTTTTTGATCATCTAACTCACGGACTAAATAGAATTTCGTTTACTGTACCCCGCCATCACCCCTACTGATAACAGAAACTGTGATATAATTTTTGTTTCTCTTTTTCCTTTATAATTTCGAAATTATTTAGAAAAAAACACCAGCTCACCACTTATTTTTCCTAGTTAATATAGGTGCAGACTACATTACGTCTTGGTATCAACGACGGTGAAATCATACACCTAAATTGCCACCACCTCCCTAGCTATTATAATGTATACTCACACGTGATAGTAAGTTGTGATTTATCGTGGCAATAGCTACAGACTGTGGAGTCGGGTATATCGAGTATGTGCTGAGCTCTCTGGAACGTGTCTGCGTGATAACAGGTGGAACATCTGTTTTCCGAAACAAAATACATTTTTACTAAGATCCTATGATGAGTTTTTAAAAAGATTTTATTAATCTATCAAACCTATTTAACAATATGACAGTAAAATTATAAGTAATTTTTAAAGTTAGACTTTTTTTCAATACTTGCAATCCTGAAAAAATACCGGTAAAAAATTTCTCTGAATCGAAGTTCCAGGATAATCTGGGATTGCTTTAAATACAAACTTGCTGTCCCGAGTTTGTAACGCATCACGCCATCTGTTGGACATACGTAGAACTTCAGCAATCGTTTCTTGAGTATGCTTGAATAATTTGTCGTTCAAAGATACGTATTATTCACATTACAATTTCATGAATATTGCCTAATGAAATTTCACCCGAAACTTTTCATTTTCTACACTTATAGGTAATACGATTTCACAAAGCACATCAATAAGTAACTTCATGTTAAGGTGTTCTCACTTATTGAGAATTTCTTCAGCTAAATACCAGAGGTATAAATGTTATGCTAGTTAAAAATTCTTTTGCTTGATTTCATTGGATGCACTTCTATAATGTACATGTAGCTTCTACTTTATCGCAATATTAAAACTAATATAGAACTTCATAGAAGCTTGTAAGCCATAATTGCTTCATTCAATGGTACACAATTTATAGAAACCAAGTCATGGTTGGACAAAGTTAGTTATTATTTACTTTAATCAATAAGCAGATGCTTTTTTATTACCTGCAATGATCTCGGAGCCAGCAGTCTTCAAATGTTATAGAATCATTATCACCAAACTTTATCTCCAGCCGACGATCTTTTAAATTCACTTGGTCTATATCTAAATAAGACAAAGACTATATTAAGGTTTTTTACGCTTATTGTCACTATTATTTTCATAATATAAGAAATAAAAAAAATCATATAAATCTGATATGAAATAGTATTAGTAGCACGTTCTCACAAAAATAACAATAACCTTTAATGCCGAGATTACTCATGTCTCCAACAGCTAACACTTGTCAAAAAACTAACACAATTTAAACTTTTATAAATTTGAACTTAAGATTTTGTTTATAAAATTTTAATATTTTCAAAGATACGTGCTTAAGAACCAGTAACGGCTAATAAAATGATATCATCCAGTCTAGTAGGTATGGGGCCAAAGTTCTCATTTATCTAAGTTAATTACTCTGATTTGTTAATTATAGTTTGTATTGACAACAGTAGATATGGTACAATGTGAAATTATAATGACTCAGTTTCTAAGACTTAACTTTATTGGTTAAGCAATACTTAGATAATACCTATGTTGTGAATTTTATTCGTAATGAAGCCACCAGAACTGAAAAACGAGTAGAGTTAATTACGATAGATAGAAATAAAATACAGACCAACGAAATAAAAATATAAATAAATCGCTGCAGTTGTAGCATAGGATCGTTCTATGGAATGAATTTTAATCTAATAGTTCATCCAACTGCAATAACTTTTTTATTTTTATTTGTTGTAATCAGCAATAGACATAAACATTCTGTCAAAATTTCAGCTGTTTATATAATGTTAAGGTTCAAGAGATACTACCCGCTGACAAACGGACGGACAGCGAAGGCTTAATAGTAGGCTTAGAACATTATTCAAAAATAATAAGGTTTTGTTGCCACCCTTTGTTTACGGAATCCTAAAAGAAAAAGAAAAAATCAACTGAAACCCCAGTTTTGGTCTGATTTACAAACGATCGGAAACACTTCCGAATTCGCTTTCTTTGCTTTGTTACTGTCACTCGTTTGTGAGTTGATAAAAACAAAGAATACATATCGATATCGAAGCTGGGTCCGTTAATCGACAGTTTGTGAACAATAACACGCCCACGCTGACAAAGGTTCGCGCAAAAACATCATAGAACCGGCCAAATGCGATCGGAATTATACATCAAAGGGCTTCTTACCATCGTACAAGGTTATGTTTAGGTCGTATAAATAACCAAATAACCTTTGTAATACAGCTATTGAGCTTAGCAAAGACGCTTATTTTTGCATTTTCCTTCCTTATTTTTCACTTTATTTCGTATAAATAAAACACTTTTTGAACTAGTATAAAGCCCAATACGTTAGCTTTTTAGGGTTTCGTAGCCAAATGGCAAAAAAAGGAACCCATATAAATTCCTCATGTCCATGGACGGACAGACACACGTCCGTCACTAAAGAACCGAAATACTTTACAGTTGAAATTTGATAAGTAGATGTATTCTGTGAACCGCATTAAGATTTTCACACAAAAATAGAAAAAAAAAAACAAAAAAATTTGGGGGTTCCCCATATTTACAACTGAAATTTATTCAAACCCATACGTGTGGGGTATCTATGGATAGGTCTTCAAAAATGATATTGAGGTGTTTAATTTTTTTTTTTCTAAACTGAATAGTGTCGTGTAGCGACAAAATAAAACTAGATAGAAAAAAAAAATAAAGGAAAAATCAAAAGAACAGTATAGGATATATATATTTACAAGATAAAGTATTTACAGATTAACAATAAAAAAAAGCTATGGTGTGTGTGTTAAGTGTGGGGTGTAAAGAGGAAGTGGTGAAGTGGGCGTGGGTCGTCGGCGATCTTCTTCGTTGAGAACAGAGGGTCTGGAAGACGTGCTGCTGGCAGACGGGCGGCACTCCTAGGAGGCAGAAGCGCTCCTGTTCAGCCGTCTCAGGTCTTGGTCTGCCCTGGTGGTGGCTGGCGGCGCTGCTGGTAGGTTGGCCGGCGAATATCGGCCAGTGGCAGGAGTTGATGGAACGGCAGGAGTCGGTAGAAGGCGGGCTGAAGCAGTTGGAGGCTGGCCGAAGAAGCTGAAGTCCAGGTGGCAGTCCCACCGATGAGGTTACGAGTACGTGAAGATGACGAGATTTTTTTTTTTAGATATTTAGAGAGAGCCAATAGGTGCTATATAGCTTTGAGGTCTTTCTTGAGTCCCGGGGCAGCCGGCCCCGGGACAAGGCCTTTTATTAATTTAGAGCTCGGTAGCGAGCTATCAAAAGTTGAGTAGGCAACTTTTGCCGTAGAATTGAATGAATGATCAGGAAGGCTCGGCCTTTTAAATTTAGAAACGGTTCGAATTGAGCCAAAAAGAATCAAAGTAGGTGGTCTGTGGAGGTTGAATAGTCATAGACGTAGTTGGAGAGAGTATCCGTGTCATGGGTAGCCATGGCAACGGATGAAAAACATTAAGTTGTCATAAATGTCAATAAAATAAATAAACTAAAAATAGATAAAATCGGAGCAAAAATTAATGAAAACAAATAAATAACAGAATAAAGAGAAATGCCGGTAAGTGTCCAGCACTCTGGAATAGTGATTTAGAGTACAGATGGAATTATTATACGTATTTACAAAATGATGAATAGTGTGTGATATTTTTGAAATTATGTGTATAAAATATATGTTGATGCCTGATGAATATCGATGATGTTATATGATAAAATGTGTGAAATGGAACCTATGATAGTCGAAACCATGGGACGATTATTAAGGTACGTTACAATAGTTTACGCGATAGACACTTTCAAAGCAGTAAAATGTACAGTAGTAAATTACAATTGGTAACCTAACTTAACCTCTAGGTTATTATTACCAATTGTATTTTTAGGTGATCAATTTTTTTGACGATCATTTAAAAATTACCTTTTACTTAGCCGTCTTTAAATAGGTATCTATGTTTTTTTGTAAATGATAATTCCGCCACTTCTGAATTTATTTTGATTCTTTTTCGTTAGTTCGTTCACACTACAAAGGACGCATCATATGAGATTTATTTTAGTAATTGTTTTGAAAAATTATCAGTTTTAAATTTATTAAAGTTCTGATCAATAATTTTCGAAGGTAAACAATGCAGTTGCAATGACAAACAATAGGTAGAGATATTTTGTGAATTATAAAAGAGAGAATACTAATAATAGGCAGGCGCGTCTACTTAGTCAGCTGATATTGCCCCGATTTATAAAAAGTAAAAACCAAAACTTGCTTAAAAAATAACGAGCTTTATATAAACAGGACCGCAATTATTTCAAATTTTCTTGTAGTTCTGTTATTACGGTTGTGTTTTTTTTATAGCATAAATAGAACTACTTAACGTCCCCACTGCTGGGGCACAGATCTGAGATGAATTATGGTTAGCGAATTTTAATAAAAAAAACATGCCGTATTGAAAAAATCCAAACAGAAATAATAACTGTGGACTTACTTAATTCAATGTTGCACCAAAAAGCGGCTGAGGAGATTACAGACAATATTTTTAGATTAAATTCTTTAGATTTACTGCGTGTTAACCTATTTTGTTCGACTTCTTGAAAATCCGAAGCTTAGTTTCTGTTCAATATTGAGCTAGTCAACATGATGCGAATTGTCGAAGACAGACTCTTTGATTATAAATATCTATATTTTATCTATGCCACGCCGTCCTAACTCTATTCTTGTCAAACTCTCTTGTTCTGCTTCTTTTATAACTGGATTATACTTACTGTCTTTTCCTTATATTTCTGCAATATTTGTATTTAGTAATATAACCCTTTCCCCTAACCGCCGTTTCCTTTGCTGTCCTCGTCATCCTGGTCCTTCGTTCCTTGAAAATCTGGTAAAATTCATTATATTTAACTTTTTTGATCATAGCACCTTTTCCAAATTTTTTTATTCAATATGCTTACGAGAGCCCTTTGAGGAGGGAAAGACAAGTTCTGTGATATCTTCCACCACGTCGTCGCAGCGCGCGAACTTGATTGCGCGGCAGAAAGCCACCGAAGCTAAACTTAAGCGCAAGCTCGCGGAGCTCACTCGGCAGGCTGTGACGGCACAGGAGGAGGCGGCACGTCCAGAGTTTGCGGCAGAGACAGCTGCCGTTGAGGCAGAAGAAGCCAGCAGCAGTCAAAAGACGACAGCTTCCAGGGATCGAACGGCACAGTGGGTAGATGATACTCACAGCACCGGAAGGCCTCAACTACTGGAAGATCACCGAGCACCATCTGATCGAGTGCCGTCAGCGCCGAGACCGTCACCGAGGTGCGACCGTCCACGGTCGCCATGTGTTGTCGGTAATGTATGTGAAGATGTGCATCGCACCATGCAGGAGCAGGTCGTCCGTTCATATAACCCAAAAACATTCGGGAGGGCGTATCGGCATCTGCGAAGGTGCAATGCGAATCCACGCACGCAAAACAAGGCCATGCGGACAAACGCGATGGATTGCCAGTCAGTGAACTTTGTCGTTTGACAAACGCTATTCTATTACTTGCACAAAATAACTGTGCGAGATCTGTAGATCTTATAAACTTTTCAGGTAACATTTCTGAATGGTTGCTATTCAAAAAGAGTTTCGACGATACAAAGTTTTCTTTTTCCGCCAAAGATAATATGGCACGCTTGCGTAAGGCACTTTGCGGCGCAGCGCGCGAGGCAGTTAAGACTACTTTTTACGTCGGACGACCCTGAAGTAGTCATCAGGGCCTTAGAGCTATATTTTGCGCGCCCAGAGCAAATAGTTATGCACGAAATTGCTGCGGTGCGCGCCCTACCGAAAATGAGTAGGAACCCATCAGACATATTTTCATTTTCCGCCAGAGTGCAAACATGTTTGTGTATAATAAAACAACTTAATAAGCAGGAGTATATTTATTCACCAGAGATTGTACACACACTCTTGGCTAAATTAACATTTAATTTGCAGGACAAATGGTTGGACTATGCAGATAGACACTTTGACCCACAGAAACCACTACTAGAACTGTTGGCGACGTTCTTGTAGCAGGAAGCAAGCAAACAAGCTCGCTTTAGCCCCAGCCCCCTGTTGTGCGGCGGCGCTGCTTCACTTGGCGACAAGCCGAGGTTCCAGCCGGTTCCTCATCGTGTCCATGCAAATGCCATGGCAGTCGCTCACTGTTTGTATTGCCAGTCCAATCATAGCATCAAGTCATGTCCCAAATTCATTTCATTGTCCGTTGATGAACGTTGGTCCTGGATTCGTCAGTACAAAGTTTGTCCTAAATGTTTCCGTAAAGGCAAACACAATTGGCGAACCTGCCGAGCGAAATCCTGCGACAAATGTAGTCTGAATCACCATTATTTACTTCATTCAGATTCATTACATTCCAACGAAAAACATTTAATTCGTAGTCAACATAATAATACACACAACGTCATCTGTCAATAATAATTCAGTGTCACATAGTGCCAATGACAATATTGTTCATGTTAGTACAACAGACCAAGTAGTTTGCGAACCTACCAACTCTATAGAGATGAGCAATAATTTGAAATCTTTTGTTGTAAACGAAAAAGCTTTATCTCATAGTAGAGTTTACTTGAAAATTGTGCCCGTTATAATTACCGGGTCAGGTGGGGAAGTGCCTACGTATGCTTTATTAGACGATGGGTCTACAACCACATTAATTGACACTGAGTTGGCAGATACTTTAGGACTCGTTGGTCCCGTGGAAACTATTTTCATGGGTGGTGTGACTGGTTCACGTAGAATTATCTCGAAACGTGTAAGTTTTTCTGTTAGAGGTAAACATTCTTCAGAAGTGTTCAGCGTGTGTGACGCGCGAACTGTACCAGAGCTGTCATTGGCTAATCAGTCAATACCTGAAGAAGACTTGCCAACTTTCGACTATCTCAGTGATATAAGCACAGCCTTGACTTATGAACAAGCTAACCCTAAAATACTCATAGGTATATCTGCGACTGGCATCTTTTAGTAAGTAAAGAGAACCGTTTAGGGTCGTCGTTTTGTCAACCTGCTGCGTTGCGTACCGCTCTCGGTTGGGTGTTATACGGTTGCCAACCAAAATTAAGTAACGGTATACCTTACCTAAACCACTGTCAAACATCCGACAAGGATGAGGAATTGAATACCCTTATTAGAGACTATTATAAATTAGATTCCATTGGCATTAAACTGGCGGGACCGTATACTACCCAAGAACAGAGAGCTGTAAAAATTCTAGAGGA